ATTATCATATAACGTTCCGTATAAAAGGTAAATACCGGTTATTAATCTTTAACGGTTATAAAAACTATTACTTAATTAAATTGAAAGACGCTACTATTAATAAAATAATATTATTACGCTTTATATACCTCTATACTCCTCCTACTTTCTTTAATTACTTAATATTAATTACTTTAGGCTATTAAAGTAAATATATAATTATTAAATTAAAGACTTAATATATATATATATTAATTATATAAATAAATTTAAATTCCTTTATACTTTCCGCGAAACCTTCTTCGCTTTTATAATAAAAAAGAATATATTGGGTAGCTTTATGGATATTAGCCTTATACCGTACGATTTAAAGAGGGTATTTTTTAAATTAAATATAAAGCTACATACGTTAATACCTCTAAACTTATAGCCCGGCACTATATAACCTTAAGTCTCCTAAATACTATATAACCCTTAAGAAACTAACTTATAGTTAACGTTTATTAAAACTCGAATTTCTAACGATTAAAATAGCTTTCTAACCTTAATACTAACCGCTATAAACTAATTTACTAAAGGAATAATAAGTATAATATACGAGGTAACTCTTCTCCGTATAGAGGTCTCTTCGCTCCGTAAGGCCAATGAGGTACTAAGCAAGCGCCGGAGAGCTAAAAAAACACGTATGAGGCTTGGAGGGTCACTTACTGTATAAGAGGCACAGGATCTACTAAATCAGAAGGCCGTGGGCGAGCAGGTAATCCAGGAACATCGATAAAGTGGTAGTGGTACAGGGGAGTCTCGTACGAAGACTCAGTGCTGTGGTGTATGCGGCAAGCCTAGCCATAATGCACGCACTTAACAGGAGGCTGTAGATGCCTCAGACTCAGCTGTTTCTAATGTTATTATAGTTGCTTAATAGTTTCGTTATATTATAATAGAGGATAGTATTCGAAGGGTGGTTGAAAGTGACCGACCCACTTATATGACCGACTCGCTTATAAAGTACGTTACTATACTATAGCCAAACATATTAAGGATCGCTAACGCGGCTTCTTTCGAGCGAGACTAGCGATTGGTTAGTTTAAATACTAGATATATAGCGGGACGGGAAACAAACCAATTGGGAATCTACATCCCGTGATGTAAGGGAATGTGGAAGGATATATGCTACTTCTAAACTCTCAAACTAATTTTCGTCTAAAAGCAAATTCCCATCGTCATCCTTCGTATTATTACCGCTTTTTCTCATACGATTTATTACTTCGCTTTGGTCAAATCGACGACTTATGACACAACGATGCCGGTCGCGGATGAGGCACTGACCGCGAAGCCCTGACACTCGCTCTGGCGTGCCGACGAAGTCTTGGAATTCTCTTCCTTGCGCTCGCCGAATGACGGAATGGTATACTGGGGAAGGCTGCGGTGTCTTTTTTGTAGAGGATTTTACTAGGAGACATTAGCAGAAGTTGAGACGGCGAGGGGAGGCCGGGTCTTACGAGGGATGAAAAAGTTGTCGAAGAGATGTTCTGCAAATCGAACCACGGCGGTTTCCAGCTCCGTATTGCTGAAATCAATGTCGTCTTCGCCGTTTATTGGGAGCACCACGGACTAAAAAAAAGCTCGGAGAAAAATATCTTATGATTTCTCTGAGCATGAATAGTCATAAGTGAGGCGGACGAGTAAGGGGCGGTTGTAATAACTTCTGGTCCGGTCGCTTCTCAATTCTATAGCTTCGAAGTAGCTGATAATGCGGTAAAAATTCGCGCCTCGCTTGATCACGCAGATCCGGTTCTAACGACGCCTCGGATAAGGGATAGATAATTCCCTCGAGGGAAGATTGCTGGCGATGATAAGGAAAAGTGGCGGGGCTGGCCATTCTATCATCATTCGTTAACGTAGTGCAAAAAGTTTCCGAGTCACTACGATGGAAGGAGGAGGAATATGGCCAGTTTTTCACGGCGCTGTCCGGCCAAAAGTAGCTGCAGTTGAGACACGCGGCACAAAAATGGCATTGACGAATGTGGTTGTCAAAGGGGACAACCAATACGGAGGCATGACGACAAAGCGGTGTTGCGCTCCCTCGCGTAATTTCGCGTCTAAACTCCACCTCGCGTTTGCTTCCTTGTCGTATATGGGGTCCAAAAACGGTGTCAATCGTTGTGTTGTGTGAGGGTGAGTTGCCCGGGTGGCTGGAAAAGGCCGAACCCAGTGGCTCAGGTCCCATTGCCAAGATATCAATTCCTTAACAGTGGTCCTCATTGACTATTCTGACACCTTGCAACAGCGGAAAGATGCAAGTAGAGACTTGTAGACAAGGTGGGCTGCACCGGTGGGAAGCTACCTCCCCCGACTTCAATCATGAATTTTGCCGCCGCATTGACGGCCTCTCGCCCGCCGGCGTAACAGAAGGTGTTTGCTGTGTAAGTACCGAGTCGTCACGGAGACTATGCATAGACTGAGCTTGAAGAGCACCAGAGGACGCCGTTTTTCGCAATGTTTGCCGATCAAGTGTCCTTTTCGAGTTTTGGCTCGAGCCTGGAGCCAGATTGGCAGCCAAGGTGGGGACTTACGTAGCGAGTAGTTCGGGCGCTGCAGGCACTTAGGGGTAGCTATTTCCCTCAAGAAATAGAATATGCTTAGGGCACATGGCCACCTCCTTCGCGTTGATTAGGCATGAGTCCCTACAGAGACATCTCCATCAACAACCTCTTGATCAACGGGGACACGAACAACCCCTCTAGGCCTCCGTCTCTGATCGGCCTGGATCTCGCCATCAAAGAGGACCCAGAAGGTGCGTCGGGAGCCAAACTGAAGACCGGTACGAGAGCGTTCATGGCCATCGGGGCGCTTCTCGGCGAGCAGCGCTCGTTCATGCACGACCTCGAGTCATTATTCTAGGCTGTTCTGGATATGCATCCACTGCGACGGCCCTGGTGAGGACAAGGTTGTTGCCCAGTTCGACAAGTGGAATTATGCTGACACGGAAGAATTGGCAAACTGAAACTGGGAACTGTGGCAAAGGAGGCCATATTTATAAAGACAATCGCCGATAACTTCACGCCATATTACGCACCGCTTATCCCACTACTAAACAGGTTGCGAAAAGTTATTTTTCCCAAAGACAAACCGTGGGAGCGGGAAGACGAAAAGCTCTACGCCCGAATAAAAGACTCCGGCAAGGTAAGGAGGACTTGATCTCACAGTCTTGATCTTCCCAAGCTCCTCCCTGTGTGATGGGTGTCGAACAATGCCGGTGATGCACCAAGTGTGCTGCATACAGGGCTGACAGCAAGGGTGACAATGCTCAGCCTGTAGTCCCGGAAACCGAAAAAGACCCAGCCAACAAATTCGCATCGAAAACCGGAAATTGGGTCGTGATGCCAGTCGTTGTATTGGGGGGGGGCGTGTGTATTTACATCCATTCTCGCTCAGTATCTACCACTCTACTATCCGTCCCTTGACGCTGCTCTCCTACCTTAACTATATACGGCCCTGTCTGTGCCTCTCGTAGTTCTGTTCCTGTATAGTTACCGCTGCCGCGTAATTAGGCGGGATCTAGTCCTCGTCTATGACCTTATGATTCAAGAGGCCTCCCTACTTATTTAACCCAGAGGAAAAGAGCCCCCCCGGTTTTAGGTAGTACTTCTACGGTATTTTATGCTATATTAAATATAGTAATTGTACTTACTATTATCGATATTAGGTTGGGAAATATAATTTAGGAACGGATATATAACGGGCGAATGGTGTTTGGGTTTACTATATTTTCGGTTAGGTGTAGTAATTATGTATCAACTTTTGCGGCTTATATAGTATAGATATTGTTGAGAAAGGAGTTATGAATGCCTGTAGAATATAGGCTCGAATAGCTATCGGCGCAGTACATTGAGAGCGAAGGAGACTTTGATTGCAGTATTCGATGGTAACCGAGGTATTGAAGGAAGATGGATTGCAGGGACGGCGCCCTACAATATATAGAAGGTAATAACTGTTATATGGGCTTGTGAGGCACAGAATAGATGTGGTGAACAAGTATATTGATTGAACTTATAGACTAGGAAATATCACAGTGAACAGGGTTTGAGGCGGGGGTCTTATTGGCCTTCGGTCTGTCAATCGCTCTCCAAAACTCTCTCCGATCCCGAGCCCGAACGCCCGCTAAGTGCGCTGGTTAAGGTGAGCCGAGAGTGAGCCGAGGGTGAAGCGAGCCTGGTTTTGGGCTAACCGTTCTTGGACGAGACAAAAAAGTTTTCAAAGACCGGCTACCCGAGTAGTAGGATACCTATTCAATCTCACCCATCTTTGATATTTACAAATCCCAAGTTCCAGGTGTTAATCAGGCAGGATGTGGAGGCATATACTCATCCTCAATGTCACAGTTCGCCCTGGCCATCAAGCCATTGTTAAGTGAGTGGAAAATGGATAACTTCAATGAAATATAAGGAGTGACTCGGTATCAGCATATGGGTAATTTCCGCCAGTCTGAGCTTCTGTCTTTCATTTGGCCCAATAACCTTAGCTTCTACTGTCTCTTTTGAGTGCAGAATGTTGGAAAACCTCACAGTAGGTGAGCCGTCATAAACCACGTGGGATGAATGTGTCTTGCTGGAATTATTTCACAGAAGCGCGACCCCACGGCACAAGTTTGGGCACACCATATACCGGCTTGTGACGCATGCATGTACGGGCCTTGTTTCTGTATCCCGAACCACCAACGAACCATGCCGTCCCAACTGTGAAAGTGGTAACACAACCTTGTGGCATCTATCAGACCTATTGGCAGAATGCTTGGGTGGTCAGCATGAATCAGCACCAAAGCGCTGATTGATCACGGAAGATGCCAAGAGGATTGCAGGATGCCAACTACCGAAAACCGTACATCAATATAGGTGTTGTTGCACAACATTATTACATACTTCGGATGGCCTCAAACCTGCAATGATACGCTTGGACACATCAGTTCCGCGGAACATTTCTTGACAATTCGAATAAGTGATGGTGTGCCCACTGTGAGATAAGAACAGGCAGGCCCCTTGCCTGACTGTTGGTTGGAAGTCAAGCACCAGCGGACTCCTCGACTCAAGCCAGCAGCAAACATCATGCGAACTTCCCCTGCCATCTGGCTAGCAGCATGCCTGCTCCAAGCCAACCTTGTCTTCTCCAACCTAGTCGGCTTCGGCCTTCACCCTTTCAAAATCTACTGCGCCTCCGCATGCCAGTGGGCACTCCAAGCTTATCCCCTAGAATGCTCTGAAAAGATCCCAAAGGGCTTCCTCGGGTGGGCAACCACGAGCTCAGAGTGCAAAGCCAATGACACAGCCTGGCTCACCACGCTGGCCTGGTGTCTGCATGTCAACTGTAAAGCCCATCGCATGTCGGAATTGCAAGCGTTCTGGGAGACTGATGCTACACGCGATATGACGAATTTTGGCAACACGGGTACGCCGGTACCGCCTAAGTGGTCATACGAGGAATCCTTGCAGCAAATCACTGAGCCACCGAGGAAAATGCCAGTGGATACAACGACGGTGCTCAACTTTACCGCCTTGGTTCCGGAGATCGAGTATCAAGCCCAGTTGAATACCGCTTTGGGTGTGACGAAGGAGCAGGAGACAGGCGCGGAATATGGGTGTGTCTTCTTTCCCTACCTACTATACACCAGGTCTACTTGCTGACACGCCAAAGCGTCATCATCCTCGTCACTGGCTTCGGCATACCCATCATCCTGACCTGGCTCTACCACCTCCCCTTTACCTCTGGCCTCTTGTCCAAGATCACCCCATACTTGACCCAACCCAGCAGCCTCGGCACTTATTCCGTTCGCCCCTTGCCATTCCTCCTCGGCAATGCCCCAACCATTGGCCAAGCAGCATACATCGCCATCTTCTTCATCATCCACATAGTCCTCATGTCAGTCAACTACCGGTCCATGCAACCACACCTCTACTACCCCGGCGAGAGTATGGAGATCAAAGCGTACATCTTTTACCGCACAGGAATAGCAGCTTATGCTCTCCTCCCCCTTCTCATCCTGTTCGCGTCAAGGAACAACGTTTTGTTGCTTTGGTTGACGAACTGGTCTCACGCTACGTATCTGCTTCTTCATCGCTGGGTGGCAAGACTGTTTGTCCTCCATGCTTTGGTGCACAGTTTCCTGGCACTGCCAATCTTCCTGCCACAGCAAGCAGTGGTTGACTCTGACTATTGGGCTTGGGGCGTTGCGGCTGCTGTTCTTTGTGTTGCCATTCTCTTTGCGAGTGTTCTGCCTCTGAGGAGATGGTCATATGAGATATTCTTAGTGACGCACGTTGTCTTGTCGGTTATTCTCGTTGTTGGGCTTTGGTATCACGTTGTTCTTTGGATTGGGCTGGACTCCTACGGCTATGAGACCTGGATTTATGCCGCCTGTGCAGTTTGGTTCTTTGACAGAGCAGCGAGGGTAGGGAAGGTGTTGAAAAACGGGGTTCTGAGTTGTACTTATTGTGAGCGTGACTACGACGCTTGAAAATACAAGAA